CAGCACGCCGCTGGGCGCTCCCCGAGCAGGGGCTGGGGCTGGGGTGGTTGCAGGCTGGGTCAGGCCACGGGGCGGTGGCAGGGGCAGGGGGTGCGTTCAGCTCCCAATCGCTCTTTCCCACTAATCGGGAGGGGGTTAAGCCACTTGGGCGAGCACTGGTAAACCGCTTTGCCAGATGGCTGGGACCCCTCGCCGGGCTGCCGGCTGCCGGGGACCCTGCGAGGTCGGGGCGAGGGTGGGCCGGGAGTGCCAGCGTCCCACGGCAGTGCTCGGGGATTGGATTTCGCAGCTGTAACGGAGCCTCCGGACGGGTGCAGGGCCAGGCACGGGGCAGGCCCTAAATAATTCAAGGGGAAGGCGGTGATGGCAGCGGAACAACCCCAGCAAGAAGCGTGAAAGCCAACGCAGGAGGGCTGCTGCCAGCGCTGCACCACACTGGGGCCGACACCACGGGCACCGAGTGGGAGCCGTGGCTGGGCTGGGGCTGGGCTGCAGGCCGCGGGGGGTTAATCCCCACAGGTGCCCAGGGCTGAGCCGGCACACCTGGGGATAAAGGGCCAGGCTGGGCAGGCTGCCAGCAGCCAGTGAGCAGGGGTGGGCGGTGGGTGCCACAGGGGTACCGGGACCCTGCGATGGCTCTGCGGCCCTGCCTGGCAAGAAGACTGGGGGGTCCGGGGCCGTGGCACCCAGGGACAGAGGGTTGCTGAGCCCTGGCTCACCTCCCGCTGCCTTGGGACACCCTTGGGTGCGTGCGGGGCAGCTGCCCACCCCCTCGCATCCGCAGCCCTTGAGCCTGCCGGGCACGGTGTGGGGCACCAGCACATCCCCTGGCTCCACCTCGGCCGGGACCGTGGGTTATTTCTAGCCACCTCTGCCCACTGCAGGAAATCAGATTAGGGGCCGCCTAATCGCCCGCTGCAGCCCCACGGCGAGCCTTGGCACCACGGGCCCGGTGGGTTGCCATGCCGTGTATGCTGGGGGGCCGGCCCGGCCCCGGGTACCGCTCGGGAGGCGAAGCAGGGACACTGCCGCGGTGATGCTGGCCAAGCGGGGCTGCCGTGCCCAGCGAAGCCCACGGCCCTGGGCAGGCGGAAAGGTCGCCTCCGGCGCGGGGAGAGGCCTCTCCTCGGCGGGCAGCCTAATCCATTTACATAATGGCGGGCGGACAAAGGCGGCTGTGTTATCGCCCCGCGCCAGGAGCCCAGGGAACAGACCCGGGGGCCGGTGGCAATATTTCTGCCAGCACTGCCGCTCTCCTCCTCGCCCTTTCTCTCCAGGCCATAAAGAAGGTGCAGCTGCCTGCCCAGCCTGGTAACGCGGCTACGTTTCC